AGTCTCTAGAATCATTTTATTCCAGATCATATTCTTCACGGTCACATCTTCTCCAGAAGGAGTGGAAAAACTTTTAGATTCTCATTTGTCATTTTAGGCTAAAGAAAGATTAATGAGAAGGTGCTTATTTAGAAGCAAGAACACAGCATATGCTTACTTTTTTTGTAATTGTAACTTCTCAAAAAGTTGAACACTTTAGAAGTTGAGTCACTTGATTCTAGTTCTGATATTTGTCCCTGGGGACCTGAAATAGTCACTTTTCCTGATATTGATTCCTGGTCTAACAGCAACAAAAATAAGTAAGCGAAGACATGAATAAAAACCATCTATGGTTACATTTACCAAAAGCAGGTTACATTAACTGGGAACTGTTGGAGAGAACTTATATCTTTCTTTAAAATTTTTGATTTCTTAGGAAACATACTCATATGTAATAACCATCAGATGTAGGGCAACCTAACTTCTCTGGAGTCTCCCAGTACAATGGTCCAAATTACCATGACTGTTGCCAGGTGCCTCGGCCACAAAAACTGGCCAAGATATTTTCTTATTGTGAGGAAACCTAAAAGAGCAGGATTGTATTGCCTAGGAAACTACCTTCCCTAGAGATAGTAAGAATAGATGGGTATCTATCCTGTTGGGCATGCCTGAGTGACAGTCCTCCCTGGAGGTAGATGGATGAGCAGGATGACCTCTGGAGAGCTCTAAAAGTCTCAGGACTATAAAAATTGAAGAATACAGAAGACTCTCAAACTTTCCATTATTCACACACAGTTGGCCATTGTGAGTACCATTGAAAAGATTAAATCATTCTGAACTATCTGTTTGGCATGACTAGTGCTTAGTAAATTAGAATTCTGATGGAAACTTTTAATGAGAAATCTTGTTTGATTGTGGTACAAACAAAATGACATTTCAACTAAGAAATTTAAAAATCTGTAAAATTCACATATCACTGTATATCATTAAATCACTCAAAGATTAACACTAACTTTTAAAACAAATAAACAAAAAACAGTCAGCAATTTATGTCCTGGGTTTAGTTATGTAGGTTTTCTGCTTTAGGAGAATTCAGATTTGAATTTTATTATTTTCTTTTCTTGAATATTTCAATAAACTTGCACAATGTACATAGATCTTTACATTTGTAAAGACTGATAACCTAAGGTTACAAGAAAAATGTGGTGGTCAACGTAAAAAAGAAGGAGCAAAACAAAATTGGGTAAAATATACTACAAAGATAGAATTTTTGAACTTCCTTTTTATATTTTTTCTTTGTAGAGATAACAAAAAATATTAGGAGGAATGGAACAGACAGTCTAGAGGGTAGGTGGTCCAGTGGGATAGTAAGATGCAATACAGATCTCTGGAGATAAAAATCCTGAGATGATTTTTCTTTTTGGCACCAGGATTGAACTCGGGTCCTTGAGCTTATGAAACATGTGGTGGAGTCACTGAGCTAAATCCCCAGCCCACTAGATAATTTTTAAAGAGACATATTCTAAATTGGTTTTCCTCCAAATGCTCATTAAGAAATAGCTTTAGAGATAATCTCAAGCCAGATAAAAAATATTGGGAAAAGGTTAAAAGAGAGAGGAAAATGATATCTTTCATGCTATTTCAAAATAACAATCATGTAAATTAATTTGGACAAAAACAAGGCTAATTTCTACCATAAATTTGCCTCATCCTAACTAATCAACACCCATTATCTTAAAAATATTTAAATTGCTTTATACATGTCATTAAAATCAGAATTACTGAAATAACTTTACTATCAACACTGCAATGACTAATATAAAGAGGAATTACATTATCAGTATGTTGAATTAGAATACTATTTAAAATAAATTCTATAAAACCTATATTCCTTTGAAATAGCTATATTCCTGCCTGGATCTTTTAGTAAGAGAAGAATAAAATGACACAGTAGAGATGACTTTTCTTGAATTATAACCAAGTATAAGGGATCAAATAGATAGCAATTACTCTATATAGTGATATATGTATTACAAGTGAGAGTAGTTACAACAGGATTTATATCTTTGAAATTATGTCATTTCTTATGGATGTAATACATACCTAGATTCACTAAAATTCCAGCTTTAAGTAATGATATTAAAAAAGCACACATCGAAAAAATGAACTTTAAAGACATGTTGGCTTAGACTGTGAATCTGATTTCAAGTACTTCCCTATTTCCTACTATGCTTTCTGATCCCGTACTCTCAGAAGCCAGAGACATGCTAGCTAGTACACTAGCTCAGGACCAAGCATAAGGAAAACCCAGGCAACATGAAGCTTTTGCCTTTGAATTTTGAGAAAGAAAGAAAGAAAGAAAGAACGAAGGAAAAAGAAAGAAAGAAAGAAAGAAAGAAAGAAAGAAAGAAAGAAAGAAAGAAAGAAAGAGGAAAAGAGAAAGAAATAATAAAACAACTATATTATTTAGGAAGTTGGTCTTACGGTCTCTCTTGAAAATCCAAGAGAAAAGTCAAAGTAAAGGTTAGAAATGACTGTTTAAAAGAGTCACATTGAACATATAGTTTTGGCTGGTAAAATATTGAAGAGTTCTCTTACTTCTCAATTTCTTATTTCAGACAGTAATGCAAGTCATTTATTAAGCATTTTAGCATAAAAATGTTTTAATTTCTTTCTAAAATAAATTCTTTAGAATGGTTTATGTCCATATTTTTATTTCTAAAGAATCAAGCCACCTATAGATAGTAAAATGCAATTGGCGTGGGTATTGGTTCACTGACACAAGCACCAACTAGACTGAGGATGGTTGGGCTGCCCTTCTAGGCATCAGACTGCCTGCTGTCTGAGCTGCTAGTGCTACAAGACATAGCCCAATTCTGCTGAAACTTTTTAATAGTTCCTAGGAGGTACCACCACTTATTAAACTTGTGTTCCATCCTCACATCCACTCTGCCAGTTTTGTAATTCTAGTGAGTTTTCAAATTGCTGGTATTTGGTCAATTAAGTCAATTAAATTATTCAATGCTACAGAAAACATCTGACGAGCTGTAGGGTTTGTACAGAGCTGTGCCATTTGGTTGAAGCATTTATATCACCTCAGCACAAGTTAGCAGATCTCAGAAAAGGTATGCAGTCGGAAGTTGCACCTGTGTACTAGAGCTAAGAATGTTCAAAGCTTTAAATTTTTGGTATGGATACAACAGACAGTTCCAATTTCAAATTGGAGTCGTCATGTATTTGAGCAGAAAGATGTCACCTATTTAAGCTGGAGATTTCACATACTGACGCTCAGGATGATGAAGTTGTTTTCAGAGACTAAGATTCCACTTTAATATTATATTTGTATTAAAGTTATATTTATAGAAAGAGAAGTTTGTGGTACCTTTTGCAAAAGGTAGTTTCCTGTCGATGAGGTTAATTTTCCACCGCTGAGTGGGTGGTTCAAAATTCTAAGCTCAAAGCGAGCGAGATCCAGGGACCTCTTGTTTTCTATCTGTTTCTGAGTGAGGCTCTGGAAGTTGGAATAGGGTTTTGCTATTTTGATAAGTCTATTTATAAATAGAAGTAAGAGTGACTGTTTTTTGTATTTTTTGTTTCAAAAGTTCCCTGAAATCTTTCCTGGGTTATGCATGAATCAACTATCTTCTGAAACTATCTGAGGGGAATCTGCTGGTATAGATTTAGCCTCACTTACATGGATTCACACTGAAGAAGCCATTATTTGAAAATCTCTTTTTTACTTGGTTCACTCCTGGCTGAGCCCAGATTTAATCCATATATCTCAGATGAGAAAAAAGGAGGATCCAGTGAGTTCCATTCATTAGGAAAAGGAAGCAGTTGCAGTTTGTATATAATTGGACAAGAATTGATGTCAATTTTCTAATATTTTAGAATTTGTAGTTTGTCATTATTTTTACTACCCAGGATAGTTGTTCTATTATAGTAGGTGTTTAATAAATATTGTTGGAAAATGAGTAATCAATTC